CTTGAGCGGAAAATTTATGTGGGTGTCGTTTCGTATCGAGTGTCTCAGACGGTAGGCGACGGCAAGAGCCCTGCTTGTTACTGACGAAAAGCTTTGAGAACTTTCGAGTAAAAAAGCGTTGCAGCAAACAATGGGGTGATGAGAATAAGAGTTAAGACTATTGCGTTATGACTTACTTTTTCTTGTTCTCCACGGCGTTATACTGAACACTGAGCATAACCAGGCACAAACTCAAAATCTTGCAAATTTACCAATTTTGGAATTGCAATGTAGCCAGCCACAAATAACCAAACATAACATCAACCCAGTACGAGACCTTTGGCGAGAAAATAGCTTCACCGCACGTATCTTTTTACAGCTGATAAACTCATCGCAGCCGGTGAAACGTAGATGACAAATAAATTAATAAAAGCGTGGAGCTGGCAAATTGTTTCTTCGAATGGGCACTATCCTGAAAACAGAACTTATTCAGTCATAGGCATCACAAAGACCGCTAAGAGTAAATCGCTCACAACCAAAGCTATGATTTAAAGATCTGTAGATGTGCGTAATTTTTTATTTCTTTAAACAGATGGATAGATCAACATATTTCCCACGAGCGAGAACATATTCAACATTACTAATGACAATCCTTCGACAACGACCAAGATTGTTGGCGGTTACCATTCACTGAATGACTGAATTACTTTCCGAATAGGCTAAACTGAGCAAACACACGATTGTTGTTACCGTAGCATTACCTTTAACACCAAGGCATGAAATATATATTATTCCTTTCATATGAAATGTCACTAATGATTAGATTGTCCTGGAGAAACTTGATTTTTTTCTTTAATTTCCGTTCTTCGCGCAATAAGAGTGATTGCATTGTTGTTTGATGTTTCCTAACCTGAAATGCTGATATAACGTTCATACTGAACTATACGGTACTCTTTCGTTTCAGAATCACTTCTCAGGAAAACTTTGTAACTCCAGTTGAAATTACAGGGAGTTTTTTTTAAATTAGTTTAATAAGAAGGAGCTGAGTTCTTGGTTCAAATGTTTGTTCACTGTATACTACCAGGTTTGTCTCTAGGTATTCCACAAAGCGGCGGTGTTCTATAGAACAGACTTATTCCCGTTTTGCTCGTACGTGGAGCCTGATTTTCAAGAAAGGCAGTTCTGTCAAAAATAAAACGTACAATACTATGGTATCATTTTAGAAAAAGGTTTTAAAAAGCTCTTTCCATGTAAATTGTAGCATTTTGATCGATCTTCGGCAGCAAATTTTAATTTCAGTCTTTGCTCGGTAAAAAAACCAATGCGCACATGTTCGACGCTCAATAATAATCAATTAAGAGGTTATCGTGACAAGTCCAAATATGAATGATCGTGTATCCCATCTGATACATTGTTTATATTGATGCTTCAGTTCCCTTGCACAACAAATTTCACTTAAGGAACTGAAAAGTATTAAAGACTAAGAGGGAACATAATTAAGAAGAACATGCGTGGCTTTTGTCATATTAGCAACGTTACAGGGTTGTCATAAAAATAAATCTGTACATGTAAGTGCATGCAAAATTTGAAGAACCAAAAACCTGGTAGCGTTTGTAAACTTATCCATTTTTACTATTTCAGTGAGTTTTTCTAAATTTTTTTCCTATTTCAGGAAATGTTAATGACGACAGGTTTATTTTTTATTTTCGTTTGTAAAAGTAAGGTTCTCTTGGTAATCTTTTCGTTTAGGTTGGTAACAAAGCTTACATAAGAGAGCGCTCACATTATAGTCGATAAACTGCTCGTTGCCACAGAAACAACATAATCTACTCTTTTCAGTTTTGAATATGAATAATTCCTCGGGTATATGAAAATCTCGTCTGGCCTAAAAAGTAAAAAAAAACAAAAAATCTTCTTTGAAGACATATTTTTCAAATAGAGCATTATACCTTTACCTGCTCTACAAAAGAATAAATCACCTCAAGTATAAATAATTTTCTTTTTATATCAATTGCAAATAAGAAAATCAGTAGAATGAATGTTGTTCCCAAATATTTTGGTATCATTTTTCTAATGTAGACACCACCGTGAAATTCATCTAAATTCCAGTCTAAATGCCCATGTCCTATGAAATGAAAGTAACATTGGTTTTCTTGCCACGTGATTATGTTGCTTTTCGTCACGCTTAGAAAAAAATCAAACAGACAAAAATATAAACAAACAAACAAAAAACATTGGTCACTTGAGAACTTCTCCTCACTAAACTCGATAGTTCATGGGCGTTTAGGTTGCCTCTTGAATGTTCATCCAGTGTTATTATCAGGTGTTTATTTGTATGAAGCTGTTGCTGTTGTCATTATTTCCTAATTTTCCCTTAGCTTTCAATGGGATTCTAGAAGAAATCCTCTGATATTGCGTACCCATTAGACAGCAATAAGAGAGACAGTACCACATAGATCTGTTCATATTTCTTATTTAGTTATTATGGTCATGATGACAAATTCTGATCAAACTGTTGGGTGATTACTGTGTCATTTCCATAGAAATATATAATTACTTTGAGAAAACATCCAACTGAGTCTTAAATACAAAGTTAAATAACACCCTAAGTGATATTAGGGTAACGAATGAAACCGTTGCTCAAGTAATTCATTACACAGCACTATGGACATAGGAAGGTGGGCCTCTAAAGTGTCTTTATAACTGCATTGATGACTTTTATATCTCAATCCGACAAATCAAAACGAGCATGTAGTACCTACGCGACCAGTTAGTCTATTTGCCTTTTTATTCCCAAGGTTTCATTAGTAATATTCCTTATTGTCTGCCATAAAACTCTTATGATGTAAGTTCGGAGAATTTTGTATTGCATCAAATAATTTCCCCTCATTGATATTTTGTTTATCCTTATCGCTTGTCTGCTTTATATTATATTGATCTTGTAAAGAGAAACTCTGTCTTGGTCACTCATGAGAGTTAAAGGGTTAGCATGCATATGAACTCGTTTTCTTCGAGGACCATTGAAAGGTGAACCATAGAACTCAAATAGAACATAGAGGTTCTTCTTCCTTCTCTATTCTTCTCTATTCTTCCTATCACACGATAGCCTTTATTCAAATAACTTACCATAATCCCTTTAAAAACAAAATACTTGCTGAACCTTTCCAAAGGTATGTTTATTCATGTTATTTCTTCAATCAACCAGAAGTGCCTTAGAGACCTACGTGTAGTGCTGGTGCATGGTCTGTAATGACCACTGTGGTCCGTCTTCCTGAGAAAAATTTTAACAAGAAATCTAGATCGGTTCTGATACACTTTCAGAGAACTGGAGAAGTTTACATTCCATTTTCCATTCCAATCCATTAACCTTTTTCTCTTCTGTGCATGGCTATACTCCGTTTGGCACGGAAGCGGTTAGAAATCTCGTTTGAAATGAAAACCTGCTTAGTTGTCAAGCTCTTCCCCTCACCGATCGACAATTTGGTTAAAAGGTTTTGTTTTCAGAAGCACTCTAGGGTTTGATTCACTTGTTTTGTCAGGTGTGTCAATCAAGCGGTAAAACAGTGAGATATGCGTTATTCATTTTCCATCCATCCATTTATGTATTTACTTTATTTACTTAGTCATTATTCCACGATCATGTATTTCTGACATTGTCTTAAACTTTGACATGTTGCTTTTTTAACAACATATAATTCGGTATGGCTTTTTTTAGTTGTCTGTTCCTGTCGTCATCTTGTTATATATGCCAATTCTTCAACCCTTTCTTTTCTTTTCTGCATTTTCCTGCATGTTTTGGTAATCAAAAATTTGGTTTACAGGTGCATCTTATGGATGGTGATATTTTACAGCGCAAGGCAAAACAAAGCCAACCTCAGTACTCAATCGAAAACTGCTTGAATTCACACAGACCAAATTTCCGTTTATTTGACAGAAACACACAATAACTTTAAACGTTTGTATAATTTAAATTTTTCTCTCTAGGTTAGTTTGATATTCTTTTTAATTAAAATCGAAACTTAAAACTGACAGCAACAGCCTTAGCAATTAGAGTTGACAATTGTTATAGGGTGGGACTATTATTCGACTCATACGATGAATCCACAATTTATTCATATTAAAACTTCACCAGAAGGGAAAATTTTCCCTTCTGTGCGAAACGAACAGAGAAATAACATTTTATCCAAATAATCTCCGTCGATTTCCTCATTATTCATCCTGATGCCTAAAGGAAAAATGTTCCTCAAACTTTTTAAAATTGCTTATTCTGTGAAGATTAATATGCTATTCACCTTCGTGGTGAAAAGGAAATGTTTTGAAAAAGCGATATAAATGGCAAGTTATTATATTCAATCTAATCCATCTCAAAGAGAGAGAGAGTGATCTGATACCATAGTTTTAACCGGTCGTTGATTTATTAATATTTTGATATTTATTTGTCTCTTCTCACTCAATTTCTCCGATTTAATTCGAGCCGCGGGTTCTTTTGAAAAATTTTTCGACAATCAATATTTATATCTTGCTTTGTTTGATGTGGAAGGCTGGCACTTGCTTTATTTATTTAAAGTCTTCCTAGTGCTTAGTGCTTAGTGATGCTCAATATTCCTGAAGTTTCCTTATCTAAAAATCTAGATCCCAGAGTTTTGTAGACTAAACCTTTTAGTCAAAAGTATCTGAAAATCAAAAGAAGATCGGGATAGATAAAAGATATTTCTTCCAGGTTTTAATCAAGATATATCTATTACGCCAGGTGTTTTTATTCAAACGTTGCCAACTTGAGTAAATTTATTCCGACAAACCGATCATAATCAATAAGACAATTTTCTTGTTTTGTTCAATCGTGTGCTTTCATCAACACGAGCAGGCTCATTAGAGTCTTACACCCTCATTGACACCAGCAGCTAGAGAGATCCCTCAGTGCTAATGTATTTTTCTTGTAACTTTACAAGTCGTTAAAAATTGATAAAACAAATAAGGAAGGAAACGTAGCAACATATTCTCTACGCTTTCCGGCGGTGGACGGTGAAATGGCTGACGATCTTATTTCTAGGAGTCTTTCCCTAAAGATTGTGGAAATAAGCTCATTGATCATCTTGAATGTTCTGTCCTTGACTGGAAACACATTGGTTTGTATTTCAGTTTACAAGAACAACAGACTTCGCACTACCACGAACTTATACATCATCGCTCTAGCAGTAAGTGACTTGCTTTCCGCTGTTTTTGTCATGCCTCTTGGAACTGGTGTACTAATAACCAGCCAATGGAATTTTGGAGAGGTTCTTTGCCAGCTTCACGCTTTTTTCAGTCTTTTTGTGATCTACGTTTCTCCTGTGACTATGGGACTGACTGCTGTTAACAGATATGTGAGAATGTGCAAATCTGACCAACAATATAGAAAATTGTTTTCAGCGCGCAAGTCACGGGCCTTGCTTATCATGGTGTGGTCATTTGTCGCATGTTATGTCCTTGTTCCTCGCCTAACTGGTCTACAAGGCTTTGAATTTGTTCAGGGCTATGCACAATGTTCCTTGGCTCATTTTAGCGAAAGCGGAAAAATGATTCATTACGGGATCGTTCTAACACTATTCTTCTTGGTCCCGCTAATGTCTACCATTATCAGCTACATAAAAGTTGCCAAAATGATCAGACAACACAATATGGGCGCGTCTTCAACGATTCAGAGATCTACAGGAAACGTAGCGATAAGTGCGCACGAGATAAAAGTGAGTAAATCGCTTTTTGCTGTTGTGTTTGCGTTCATGATCTGCTGGATTCCATTTTGGGTGATTGTCATCTTGAGGCGCTTCAATTTGGTGGGGAAAATGCCTCGGAGTTTTGAGTTACTCTGCATGTTTCTCCTCTACTTTTCCAACACAATCAATCCTTTCATATATGCTGGCATGAATCACTTGTTCAAACGTGAGTTCCGAAAAATATTATGCTGCGAAACTAAGGGCAGAGTTGGAGTCACCGCAACAGAAGATGGAACACAAAGTGCAACTGTAATCGGAAATGCTCTAACAAGTCGAAAAGACAACTATCACATTCGTTCAGATAACAGCAATGAAGGGAATTTTGAAGAGCTCAAATTCACCACAGTAACTATTTGCACTGGTGAAGTTGTCTCTCAAGGAAAGCTAAACAAAAGTTTTTAAGTGCAGAATTAAATACAATACTAGTACTCCTGATGGTGCTAAGTTATAAATTGCTACGAGGAAAACAAATACTTACAAAGATTGGTTTTCTTTGAAAGGCCAAGGTATTAATAGTAAACATTTTAAGCCGATTGGTTTTTTTTGTTTTCAATCAAACTGATCAACTGCATGATTAAAAAAAATTATTGAATGTAAAAATGGCTGATGAAAACAACTGGACAGATTATGATTAGTTTTAGCTTAAAATTGAAGTTTTAAATGATAAATACTAGGCAGTAGTTTCATGGTTTTGAGCTAAATCCCACCCAAAAGTATTAAATGAAATGAACGAAGGGATGAACGAACAAATGAATGATTTATTGAATAAATAAATGATGTTGTCGAGGACGGTGAACGTAACCGTAAAAAGTGTAAGAGCAGAAAAATTAAACTCGGTGGTGAAGTTTCATAAATCAGGTAACAAGTAACCTTTGATTACGACTCACGAAAACTTGTTGAATACATCAGTATGGAGGGTAATAAGTAACGGGCTAAGATGAAAAAATTGACCATGAATAGAGATTTAAATGTAAATAGATGTACACACTGTTTGTTTTTTTGTTATAATTGACATACCAATAATTTTCACGAAACAACGAATAAGAATCGAACGAGCTGACCATGATTAGTTTGTAAATCTTCATGGCTAAAAGGTAAATGATAGAGGTGGAAATCAAAGACTGACGCTCGAATCAGGGTAATAAATAATGATAATAGGACCTAGTGGAGTCCAATTCTCGGTCTGTAATCATACGAGTGATTAACAAAATCGGACGACCGCGAAGCGGGAGTCCGATTTGTTTATCACGAGTATGATTACTGACAGAATTGGACGACAAGAAATCCTGTTTCAATTAATCATAACCATTTCAATTTCCGTAGAAACAAACACACCTAGAACAAATATCTCCAGTGGAGACCACGTCTTTAGTTAAATATTCTTGCGTTTTGGAAATTGCCAATTGTGATAAATTCTGTGATTGATGGATTTAGCTAAGTGGACCTAGTATGACTGTGTTCTTCTACGGTCCGATTACAGCCAACTGTCCTATTGCAGCTGTACAGAATGATTAGTGAAAAATGAAGCATTTAATGCACCAATCACATTTGAGGAAATTGTAATGGTTATGATTAAGCTCATTACAGCACGGGTATGCTGTAGACAGCCTATTTCACACAGCAATGTACATATGATGTGTTTCTATATTATTATTGTAGTAAAATATATCTTACACTAGTTGTACAAGGTGATGATATACTTTCAGGCATGCAGTGTGTATCCCTTTGACGACTCTTCATTTACAATACGGATGATATATTGTATAAGGGATTACAATTTTGTCGTGACAGTTTTCAAACTCCAAATCTATTAATAAAGTGCATTGTTAGGATTTTAAGATTATTAGCACCCATTAATCTTTCGTGTACAGAAATGATAATGTAAGAAATAAATTTAATCTCGAGTGTAAATATAAATGTATAGGTACGTAAGTGACAAAGCTGTATTCTTACCTGGTTACAGTAAATGACGAGGGACAAATAATTCCTGAGCTAAAAACATTCGTTGAAAAAAACGTTATTTTCCGACGTATAACATCATTGAAAAAGCAATGTTTATTTCAATAACCACAATAAAACCATAACAAAACTCTGACTCTTGATATTGGCTTATGAAACGTTATCGAAAAACATCTCGTATTCCCGTTTTATTATTTTGAATATTTTTATCAACTTATCACCAGTATCTCTCTTACTGACCCGGATTTTAGTTTTCGAATTCGTTCATCTAGATGGCAAATTACACGGATTCTTCGGCCTGTTCAGCGTGCACCTTATTCCTACGTATGCTCGATCGTGGCAACCGGCGAAAAATTCGTATCGCTTTCCTTGCAAATGCTTTGGATAAGATCCCGTACGTAAAAGGATGAAGGGCAGGTACAAAGCACCAAAGGAACGTAGTGGCGAGATGAACTTGACGTGGAAAGCTGGATGACTGAGTTGACAACTCTAACAGCTTGATTATAATAGCTGCCAACCATAGCAAAAGAACCTCCACGATCATTGCCAATAACACTTGATTTGTTCTTCTCTCTTCTAGTAGAATTTTGAACTCAATCTCGGTTTTAGTGTTAGTTCTTTCCAGTTGAGGAGAGGAGTGACTGTATGAGCCTTGTCTTCTGGTCGCGTGCCATGCAATGACCGACACAATGAGCAGTATTGTGTAAAGCACCATCGTTATTACTGAGTTGGTGATGTTTTCATGCTGGTTGTTTTCCTTGCTTGAGGACATGTAACAGATTAATTTCTCGGCAGAAAATCTAAAAATGGCCCTACCAAAGGTTATTTGAGCGACCAATAACGCAGCAGTAAGGACCCACAAAATCATAATCATTCCAATGGACCGATCAAGATTGAACACTTTGTTGTAAAAGACCATATGAGTTACCTTGAAATATCGGCTTGCCGCCATACTTGTCAACGTCAACAGAGACATCCAAATGAAATTCGAAAAAGTAAATCCCTGAATGTCGCACAAGACTTGACCAAACGGCCATCTTCCCGCTAAGAGGGTTCCTGCTGTTGTAGGCAGGACGAGAAATGCTGCAAAAATGTAGCATATAGCCAAAGATACGACAAACACGTTGGATACTGTGTGAAAACGTGGATTGGTAAACGTAACAAAACAAATCAGTAAGTTTCCCATTATGGCAACAGAACTGATAATCAACATCAGACCTCCTTCGATGGCCACAGTCAAAATATCTCTTGAGGTCAAAGGTATTGAGTCGTTTGATTGGATTGCCATTTTTCCAGCTTTCTCCCTTCTCGAAGATCAAACTGTGAACGTTTCTGTGATGTGCTGATTTCAACTTTGATCAAAAGATATTAGTTGACCACCTTTCAAAAGGCATAGAGGCCGGACTTCCGCAAGCTGCCTGGGACTCTCCTTTTCCTTCTAAAATACCTCACTTTCAATATCAATGGAATATTACTCCACCATTTTTTCCTTCAAACGCGCACAATATTTGCGCTGTTGATTTTAAAGGGAACTCGTCTCAAGTCACCGGTATGTGCCCCAGTGACAAACCAACCCTAACCTAAGCCCTTGCCTATGTTTTACGTTGCTTTCAATTTTTTCTCCCATTTTTGCCTTTTTTTTGTTAAGTTAATTTCTCAAGTACCTATTAGAGATCGTCTGATATACTTCACACGAATTGCGCTTTGAAAGAGATAAGAGCCGCCTTTGTCAAATGGATACTTCAGACTATGCATAGTATTAGTGGAGGTCGAGTAAACAGTGTCACACGCGCAAAAACGGAAATGTGAATCCCTATGTACTCTTGCCTCATCTGCCGAAAAATAACCATTTACTAAGATAGCTCTATATCATTAAGACCTTTCACTGCTCCTGTAATGATGTTTTACCCCTAGGAAATATCAGTACGCGTTTATCGTGCACATGTGTATATTGTAAACAGTCAGGCATGACGAAACTATTAATTTGAGGGTTTAAACAAGCTTTGTGAAAATTTAATTAATGAAGCATGTTATGCAATGTATGCGCAGTAATTTCAAACCATTGTCAGTCAGTAAATGCGTAAGATCCGGGAGATTTTATCTTTTTCAGTCAACAAGAGTGCCTGCTGTAATTAATTACGGTGAAGCCCAAAAAAAGGTCTGACGTTGGAGCAACGACGCCTTCTAGTTTCAAGTATCTATATCCCACGGCTGTCATACTTTGCCTCAAAAGAAGAAACATTCTGTTCTCTCTATCGAAGTAAAAATGAATACATTCGATGTAAATTGAACAAAAACCATACCGCGTTCGCCTTGTCAACTGAGAGTAATCGAGGTCAAATTTGGACGCGTCCGTGCATGAAATGGGAAGATTAAGTTCATTTGCGGATGGAGAATATATGGAAATCAGGAAAAGCGATATTGTTTGAGGGCAGTGCCGCTCCTTTCAGACTATTTTACAACTCACATGGCTTGTATTTTACACCTTAAAAATGCTCAATAAGTTTCCGTTTCATAGCACGTAGGTCACAAAAAAGCGACAGAAAAACCCTTTCTGGTTTCTGATGATGCATTCCACAATTCCAGCCTCATTGCTTCGTTGTCGGTTAATGAACAATGCTCTATATTTAGTAAACTGATCGCTAAAAGAGTGAAGCAAATAAGATAATTACGCACAAAGTCGAAGCGAGAATTGCAGATTGTAGATAGCTTATGATAGCATCCACCTCAGCGGAGCCACGTAAAGACAATTTGATTCGGCCATCTCCAGAAAACTTTTAGAACCGTCACAGATATACAAAGTTAGAATTAGGGTTGTTTTTTAAAGGCAGTACTGTTTCCTCGTTAACGTTTTCCATTTGTCCCTTTTATTAGAGCAGAGCTATCAGTATCATCGCTCATATCAAATTATATGAACGCTTTTTAAAGCCGCGCTTATGAAAATTTTATGCTTTTTTTCGTTATCAATCTATTTTTATTAATAACAATAGCAATAACAATCCACGCTAACTCGTCACAAAGGGTGCAATATTCGGCACTAAAACATGCTCGGTTTGCGCCGGCGGTCAGGACCTTCGCGTGGTAGAATGTTTGTTTTAGTCAAAAACGGGTGACAAAACACTAAGCTATTTTATACCTAACATGTGTTTACATATAAACCTCTTTTTAGTTTTGAGGAATGACAAGTTATTAAACAACTTAACAGCAGAGGCATGCCATGATAGTATTTTTTTTTTAATTTTAAGACGGTGCATGTCGTAATCTGGTACAAAGTCGAAAAACATACACTCTTTAGCCCAAGTAAACACTTATAAAAGTCGCTTAAATTATTTTGGATAGAATGTAGATTGGATAGATTTTGATCGAATCTTTCACGAGGCAAATTTCGCCCTGGCGATATCGACGTTAACACGCAGGCCGCAATAAACTGGTCGCTCGCAAAGACGAAGATTATGCTGATGTATGCTACAAGCTGGGACTTCACAGGTTTATTAAGAACAACAAATCTCGGATCAATATCAAAAGCTAGGTCGAGGATTAATCTCTACTTATTTCAATTAAGGTAAGAAGAATAAGAAACTGACAGTAACACTAAAATGTTATCGAAGTCCATCATGACACCAGCCTCACCTTGAACAAACACACGATCATAACGAGCAAGAAAATCAGCGAGAAAGAGGGCCTGTTTGAAATAATGTTTGAAGCCTTTCGCTACTCCACTTCCAGCGTTTTATCACAAGTGTTCAGCCTGTGATATATTTTAAGACGCGTGCATTTGGTGCGAACCCACCCCAGCGTTTGGTTTGTCAAAAGAACTGAGTGCGCGCCATTAACATTGTCGTGCTTCGTTCGTTTAGTTCAATGGAATAACTTGCTATGAAATTCTTAATTTCCTGAATTTAAGGACTGAAACCGATGATATAATTGCCTTGATAATAAACTAAACCAATCAAATTTACTAATTTGTAAGCCTATCATCGGAAATACTCATTTATTTTGTCTCGTATTTTTTTCCGGAAGGAGGGCTTCATTGAAGACAAGAAGTGCTGTCATTTAATGCCTAGGGTCGATTATTGTTTCATTTATTTTATCGTACTTCTTTGTAAAGCATGTGTTCTACTGGATATGAAATGAAAAGCAAAGTTGTTGCCAAACTTCATTTTGCAAGAATGCATCTGCTTGGATTAAGGTCCTCTTCAAAACAAAACAATATTAAGCAATGCAACAAATTGTACAGTCAGTTTTGACAAAATCAGTGATCCTGGTATAATTGTACTGTCGGAACCGAACCAATTAATTTACAAAGGAAGCAAAAAGGTTAAAAGACTCATTATATCAAGCTTTAGTGTTTGCTTTGTTCAGGTAATCACATCATTTCGAGAGCAATTTGGAATAAATATGCACGAGAAATGGTTGATGTGCTGCACGAGAAAAAACGTGATTACTTAGCAGTACTATTCAGAAAAAAATTGTGATGGCTTTCCACGACTATGCAGAAGCAACGCGCGCAAATCACGTGCAAAAACTATGTCTTTAAATCTTGCTAATGTCACTGTGCGTTTGTTCAAAACAACCGTGTTACTGAAAACAACAATTTCTATGCTGTTTGTTTTTCTTTGGGTTTTTTTTTAGTTTATCGTGGCGAAACAATGTGTTACCTATTCTGCGCTGAATTAACACTTTTTTGTACTGTATTACCTGCAAACTGCATTGCATTAAGCAAATCAGAATAAAGAAAATTTTCAGGTTTGTTATTGATATTGTAACTACCAACATAATTATATAGCAGCTGTGAATTTAATAAAACCACAGTCGAAAGTCTTCGTAACGTTCGTCCTCTACTTACCCGACTTATAACCCAAAATGGAGGAGGAAAATTTAGCACGATTACATAGGGATTTGAAAAACAGAAGCCAGGGGGTTTTAGTCTTCGAATCTTGTTTTATGCTACTGATTATATTGGCAGCGTTCCTCGGTAACTTTGTGTTGATTTTGGCGATATTAAGAAATCCATGTCTTCGAACTGTGACAAACATGTTTTTGGTTTGTTTGTCAGTAGTTGATATACTCACAGCATCATTGGTCATGCCATTCACTGCTTCCATCTTTATACACAGTGACTGGGTATTCAGTGACGCGGTTTGTACATTCCAAGGAATTTTTGCAATTTGCCTCGTTTGGATCTCACTCCATATGGTGACTTTGATGGCTGTTAATCGGTATTTCTGTGTCCTTAGACCGAGACTTTATCGGAAATGGTTCACCAAAAGATTCTCCATTGCAATGATTTGTGCAGTTACCATTACACCCTTTGTTCTGACCATTTCACCACTTTTCAGTGGGTTATTTACTTACATCTTTCGCCCGGGAAAAGCTTCTTGTTTCATGACTTTCAATCCGGATAAAAAACTTGAAAAGATGACATATATTCTTTCGTTACTATGCGTTTACACAATTCTGCCCATGATTCTTATCACTGTATGCTATTACAAAGTTTTCCGCATGATAAAAGAACATGCCATGGCTACAAGAAACACCATTCGGCAGTCTGGGAGTTTGAGCTCAGAGGAGCTTCGAATGACCAAAATGCTTCTTGTTCTCGTCGTTACGTTTGTGATCTGCTGGCTTCCAGTTACAACAGTGGATTCCATAAATGCAGTGCTAGGTACAGGTAGCCTTCCTCGAGGAGCCTATGTAACCTACACGTCATTTGTATATCTCAGTAGCTGTATCAACCCGATAGTTTGCTTAACACTCAATGGCAAGATTCGCCGACAGGCAAAGAAAATTCTCTTAATCAAAAGAACTTGGCAGGTGGCAGATACAGAGCTGTCAATGGATACCACGGTTGGATCGACTGTAGCTCGTGTTCGACAAGGCGCTGGGTTAAACAAAACACCACGTGATTTTTCTACCTAAGTCTGAAGAAAGATCAGTAAAAAGCTCCTGAAGACCATCGTTACGTCTTCATCTTCTTCCTTTTTTTTAGACTTTTTTTCGACGCTCGAAAGGAAAGACTGCACAAACGATACATACGGAAAATAAACTCGATCAGGCACAAAGTAGCTCATAGAAAATATATCTCTCGTCGTTTGAGAAATGCGTTGAATTCATTTTTTTAGGCTGAAAATTATTACTAGTAGAAAGAGTGTCGCTGAGCGAGACTTGATTTTGTAACAAAAAGGAAATTAAGACTTT